CTACACAGGTGTACGCCTGGGGTGACAACGACCATGGGCAACAGGGCAACGGCACAACCACGGTCAACAGGAAGCCCACGCTTGTGCAGGGCCTGGAGGGCCAGAAGATCACACGTGTGGCCTGTGGGTCATCGCACAGTGTGGCCTGGACCACCGTCGATGTGGCCACGCCCTCTGTCCATGAGCCCGTCCTCTTCCAGACTGCCAGAGACCCCTTAGGTGCTTCCTATTTAGGTAACACGGGCTTGTGCCATCTCCAGGGTCTCTGCGGGGCAGTGACACGGGGAGTCGGGAGAGCCCCTCAGCCTGGGGCGTGCATTTGCTGACTGTCGGCACAGAGCGTTGGTGCCCCCGGCTCACACACGCTGGAAGGACGGTCGGGAGCGGGTGTGGTGCCGGTCTTGTGCTGCTGCGCGGGCCTGCGCAGGTCTCCGCGATGGCTGCTCGGGGGCTCTGGGCGGGGTGGGTGGGACTGGCACACGGTGAGCCGCACCTGGTTAAAGCACACGGTTTGGTCATCTCTGGAGTGTGTGCACGACCACAATGCAGGTGGGCACAGGGGCCACCCCAGAGTCTCCCTCTGCCTTGCAGCCTCTCCCTGTCGTTCTGAGCCCCTCCTCATCCTGTGACCACAGGCTTGCTCTCCCTTCCTGCGAGTCTGTGTGCAGTATTTTTAAAAATTCTTTATTTTATTTTATTTGATTTCTTTTTTTTCTTTTTTTTGAGAGGTTTTTGCCATAGGCGCGTGTGCTCGCCAGAGAGAGACAGAGAGATAGAAAGCGAGAAATCACCCCCCGAGGGGGGATGGCCACGCCGCAATCCCTTCTCCTCCATTCTCCTCTCGGGATCTTGGGCATGCACGCGCACGCGCCTGGCGTGAGTTTTAAGCCACCGGGTCCAGGACGCGAACTGCGGTCGACTACGTGGGAGTCCAGCAACATAGCCATTACGCTAACTGCTGCTCCCTATTTTATTTTATTTCTTTTTCTTCTTCAGTTTGACCAGGGAGAGACAGAAAAAGAGAGAGGAAGAGAGAGAGAGAGAGAGAGAGAGAGAGAGAAAGGCAGCCACCAGGTCCAGGTGTTGGCTGCAGTAAGCCATGTGGGAGTCCGGAGCCCCGACCACTGTGCCACCTGCCGGCCCCGCTGTGTGCAGTTCTTAGAGTGTGCAGTAGATGGAATCATTCAGCGCTCTTCTCTCTGACTCACTCAGCACAGTCACTTGGAGACTACGTGGCACGTGTCAATATTCTTTCGTGTTTCATTATTCGCTACTGTCTCACTTATGAATGTATTCTAGTTGATTCGTCCATGTGCCTGTCGGTGAATATTTGGGTTGTATCTAGGTTTGGCCTATACATATAGAAACGAGCGGGTTTATTTCATTTAAATTGGAGCTTGTCTTTCTTTGGAGACGCACCTGGTGTCTGTCCCTCGGGTAAATCCCTGGCAGAGGAGTGGCCGGATCGTATGAAGATCTGACTTCTCAGGGGCCTACGAGCTGTTTATATACCATGATATTCTTTTTTCTTAAGAGATTTTTGCCTTAGTGCGTGTACACTTGCCAGAGAGAGAGGGAGAGCCAGAGATAGTGAGAGGGAAAATGAGAAATCACCCCCCAAGCTGCAATCCTCTCTCTTCCACTCCTCTCCTGGGATCTTGGGCGCACACACACACATCTGGTGTGACTTTAAGCCACCGGATCTGGGATTTGAACCATGGTTGGCCATGTGGGAGTCTAGTGACGTAACCACAGTGTCATTTGCTGGCCCAATACTATGATATTCTTTATAGGTATTTTTTCTTAGATTTTTTTGCTCTAGGATGTGTGTTCTCGCCAGAGACTCAGAGACAGACAGAAAAGGAGAAATCACCCCCCAGGGGATTTGGCCATGTTGCAGTCCCTTTTCCTTCATTCTCCTCTTGGGATTTTAGGTGCGCACACACACGTGCCTGGGGCTTGAACCACGCTCAACTATATGGGAGTCCAGCAGTGTAACCATTACGCATTTGCTGGCCCCTTTATTGTTATTTCTTGTCCATCCTTTTACTTTTTATCTGTGTCTTTGTGTTAAGGAAGCAGCTTCTTTGTAGGTAACATGTAGTTAGATCTGTGTCTTATTTATTTATTGTTTTTGGAGAGGTTTTTGCTATAGGGCGCGTGTGCTTGCCAGGCAGACAGAGAGAGACAGAGAGACAGAAAGCGAGAAATCACCCCCCAGGGGGGATGATCTCGCCGCAATCCCTTCTCCTCACTCTCCTCTTGGGATCTTGGACATGCGTACACACACACCCGGCGTGAGTTTTAAGCCACCAGGTCTGGGACGTGAACTACGGTCGACTACATGGGAGTCCAGAGACATAGCCACTATGCTAACTGCTGGTCCCTGATCTGTGTCTTTTAATTGGAGTGTTCAGCCCATGTACACTTACTTAGCTCTTCACTGTCGTCTCTCCCCCTCTTCCTGCTTTCCTTCGAATGCGTTATTTTTTATGATCTGATTTTTCTGCCTTGTTACTTATGGCCTCTAGGTCCTGGTGTCATTTGGTGGTAGCTCTAAGACCTGCACTGTGCTCCTCTAGCTTGTGGTCGTTGGCGTTTAGGCGGGGTGTTTTCGCGCACAGTTACGTGTCCTGCAGCAGGGTGCTCCTGCTTCGTGGTCACGCGTTTTACTTCTTGCGTGGACTGTAAGCCTGATGGTGTGGTTCTGCTCATTTAAACAGTAAGAGGCCCATTTCCTCGCGAAGTTGAATCGTTCTTTGGTCCTTTGTGCACGCCGTGCTTCTGTCCGGCATTGTTCTGCTCGAGGGCCTCTCGGCGATGTCGTGTGGGTGGGTGTCATTCTTAGGACTGAGCTGCTCCTTAGTTTGTATAGGATAGCTCTGCTGGGTGTGCAGTTCCAGACTGACAGTTCGACTGTTTTAAAACGCCATTTCACCGTCTTGAAGCCTGACTTGTTTGATAATTCAGTGTGTCATTCTTACCTGTGTTCTCCTGCACTTTTCCCCTCTGCTCTTGGAAGGGTTCTCTTTCTCTCTGGTTTCGGTCCATTTGATAATGACATGCTGTGGTATAATACCTTATTGACGCGCAGGGTATAAATACCTTACTGGTTCTTGTGCCTGGTTTTCTGGGCTCATTGGATCTTTGAGTTTGTAGTTTTCATCAAATTTGATAAAGTTTGCTGTTGTTTCTCCCTGTGGTTTTTCTTTTTCTTTGTATCTGCTCCTCTTTTCTTTTTTTAAGGTGTATTTGTCTCCCGAGAGAGGATGGGTAGGCACAGGGGATCCCCATGCCCAGGCAGCAAGCACTCCCAGTGTGTACAGGGAGACAGCGGGACACGAACCCGGGTCCCTCCACGTGGGCCCAGAGCACAGAGCCCTATAGTGCTGCTGTGCCGCCTCGTCTGCCCTGTACAGCTCGTCTCTGTGAGAGCTCCGGGTCCGTGTATATTACATGAGGTCTTCGCCATTGTCCTTCGGGTATCTCAAATTCCGTTCACGATTTATGTCCTTTTAATTTAATTTAATTTTTAATTTTCCCAGAGGACACATGTACTTCTCTAAGCGAATTTAACCTTTTTTTTCTTTTTTAATTTCAGGGGTTTTTTGGTTGTTGTTTTCTGGTTTTTTTTTGTTTTGTTTTTTTTTTTTTTTTTCCAGAGGATGCTTGCACTCACCAGAGAGAGACAGAAAGATAGGGAAGATGAGAAAACACTCCCTATGGGACGTGATCACACCACAGTTTCTTCTCCTCCACTCTTTATGCTCTTGGGATTTGGGCATGCACACACACATGCCCAGTATATCTTTCAAGCCTTCAGGTCAGGGACTCAGCGTGCACGGTTGGCCATTGAGGTCCAGCGAGGTACAGCTCCCTTAGCCACCAGGCCCCTGACTGCCTGATCAAACATTTTTCGAAATGTTTTTTGCTATAGGGTACATGCATTTGCCAGAGAGAGACAGAGGGAAAGTGAGACATTACCCCCTGGGGGTGGCCATGCTGCAGCCCCTTCTCCTCTCTTGTCCTCTCGGTATTTTGGGCATGCACGCACATACTCCTAGCATGTTTTTCAGGCTGCTAGGTCTGCTACTCAAACCTTGGAGTTGGCCACGTGGGATCCAATGCCGTAACCACCGCTCTATCTGCTGACCCCTAAACTATTTTTGATCGCAAACATTGTAGTTTCCTCTCTAAAGTTTGACTTGCGTATTTTCCTTTCTCCCATTTCCCTAGCTGTCTGTCTGGACATCAGGAATATAGCTATAATAAGTGTCGTGACCTCTTCGAGTCTAACACACCAAACTATTTGATTGTAGCGTGTGTGTCATATTCGGTTATTGTGATTGTTATTTCTGTCTTGGGTTCTGTTTTTCTACTTTTCTGTCTAGTTGGTAATTTTGGGTTAGATGCCATACATGTGACTTTTACATGCTGCTAGAGATTTTTCGTCTATGCCTCTTCGTGAATGTCGATGTACTTAAGTTACTCTGAAACAGTTGGCCCTCTGGGGTCTTAGTTTCAGATCTGTAGATGGGTCGCACACCTGGTGTTAGTCTGGGTTAATTTCTTTCTTTCTTTCTTTTAGGTTTTTGCCATAGGACATGTGTGCTCACTGGAGAGAGTGAGAGAGAAAAGGAAAGTTTGAAATCACCTCCGAGCGGTGATGACCATGCTGCAATCCCTTTTCCTCTTGGGATTTTGGGCATGCACACACACATGCCTACTGTGATTTTTAAGCCGCTAGGTCTGGGGCTCGAACCTTGGTCAGCCATGTGGTAGTCCAGTGCCTTCACCAGTACGCTACCTGCTGGCCCCAGTCTGGGTCTAATTCTTCTCATTAACAAGATGAAGCCCTTCTGGCCGGCGTCCCAG